CAGTAGATGTCCTACTAGAGCAAATGAAGCTTCAAGAAGCTTTGCACTGGAGTGAACCAATTGGATGAAAGGCTTCATTGCTTCATGAAGCTTCATCTGCCCATCACTACTGTTACGACCGGGCTCCGTGCACCGCACAGCTTTAACAATCCCTCGAGGATCACACCTTCCCCTTATGTCACTGGCACAGTGTGCACCCTCACCCTGAAATGCTCTTCAGTGGCGTAATTCACTGTTCTCATATCACAGCAGTCAGCCAGCTCTCTCTTGTCTTTATTCTCTCAGTCACCGGCAACAACAGACTAACACACACAGGCATAATACAGCGAAACACTTCCAGTCGAACAGCAGTCAACAGGTTCGAGCACCGAATGCTCGATGCAACCCGCCACACACAGCGTGAACCCAACAGTCATTTTTAACCCCTCAAAATACAACAATAACAAGAACCGTAAAACACAATAACTCAGGATTATACCACGATGTTACGCTTAACTATTTACACATTCACATAATGCTTGCCACTGCCACTAACCCTCCCACTGGCTGGCATAGTCATCGCAATATGTTGATCTTTCAGCACCACACATACACACAAATAAGAACTCTAAGTACTCTCATACATTTGTTGTCTACAATGCTGAAAAAGCACACACACAAACTTTTATAGTAAAGCTGAAAAGAAGTGATTATAATTGGGCACAGGAACTTGTTTTGTGCTTGAAATTCTGGAAGTGAGGGCTATTTTCAGTAGCTGGCTGACACACACATCTATACTCAAACAAATAACTGTCCATAACACACAGAGTATCCTTACATCACGAGTCAGCCCTCAGCATGTCTGGTGCCACATGTAGCCCGTTGGCAAATACTGGGCTGGTGCTTCTTACAAATGAATATGGCTTGTGTTGTTACAGCTGCAGTTTTAATTGTATTTGTGTTGTAAATTGGGTTTCAATTAATAGTTATAGTTTTCGTGGTTCGCCGCACTCAATTGGTGAGGACTTCGCTTTGCATCGCACTCCAGTTGTGAGGAGGCCATATTGCATCGCACTCCAATTGTGAGGAGGCCATATTGCATCGCACTCAATTGGGGAGGACATTGCATTGCATCGCACTTAAATTGTGAGGACGCCTTATTGCGTTGCACTCAAAAGTTTGAAACAGGCCTGCAACGATAACCCCAAAAGTGTCTGAGTAACTTTTAGGTGACTGAGTACTGTGTGTTTTGTTGAGACAGTGTTCTGGGCATAATTAAACGGGGCGACTGGGACTGCCTCGGTGGTATTGTTAGTTACTAATTAACTCAGAGAGCACTGACTTATCATTTAGTTGGTAAAAACCGATCTGGTAATCTGGTTCTTCTGTTATTGCCTTTATCATTATTTATTTTACTCATTCGGTTTGTACTCACAAGAGGTCATTTTAGTTATCTTGTTCTAATAAATCCGGCCTAAACCGTGTGTTCTTATTTAAGCCATCGCTGGGTCTATCTTCCTTCCTCAAGCACCATACTACGAGTCCTTATTACTAGTTATAGGGGTTATCAATTTTAATTTTGATTAAATGAACCCAAGCACCCCTCATTCTAACCCATCTAGTTGGTGCCCCTCCTAGGTAGAGTGAGAAAGGTGCTACACACAGCATAAGAGGAAATTTTGTTTTAAAAGATCTCAGGGCACTGGCTCCAGTCCTGTCTTTCTTTGGCCTCCCAGTAGCCGCCCTTGTAGATGTAGGTGCTTTCTCCTGTTGTGTCATCTGTCCTTTTCTCAAACCACACTGGCTGATAGCCCTCGATGTCTTGTCCTGATGACACAGATCAACAGATCATCAGTCTCCATTCTTGATTCATAATGCCATGCTATAATGTACTATTTTGGACATTTGCATCCAAATATAGTTTCTGCTCTTGCCCGTGGAGAGACACACAAACACCAGCCACAATATTTCTAAAAAAAAAACAACACATCACCTAAGTTGATGTTAAGGTGAAGAAGTAAAAAGGAGAATCTATCTTTGCTCTTGCTAGTTGCCTTGATCTCACCTTCTTCGAGGGCCCGATTAGCTTGTGCCTCCCTCCTTTTCCTCTCCAGCCTCTGACGTTCCTCCAGACGCTGCTTCTGGGCATTTGCTTCATCCCACAGACCCGCCTCCATCAGCCGCTGGTCTGGCCGCAGACGACTGTCAGTAGGCGCAACCCCCTCTTCTGGCTCATTCAGAGTCAGAGCCAGGGAGGAGAAAAAGTGCATGTTCTCTGCATTTTCTCTGGAGAGCGAAATATGGAAAAGACAACACAAGTCAAAAAGGTCAGAGAGTGGGGAGAGAAACAGGAGAGGACAGATCACAAAAGGGGTAGGTTGAAAAGACACATACAGTCACCAAGATGTGGCAGAAATATGTTAGCTGACATAAACATACGGGAGAGGGTATTTCTTCCATAACACTTTGGGCTGAAGAGTCTGATAAACTGTCTTTTGTTTGCCTTCAGAGCCTCCACATCCTTGGCTGCTGTCCACTATTTTGGCACTCTCCATCTTGTTGTCCCAGGTTCCGGACAGGATGTAATGTGCTGTGCCCCCTCTGTCCTCTACCACTCCTGTCACCTAGATACACCACAGAAGACGACACCCGGGAAACGATCTGTTACATGCACATTCTGACCTCTACATACAGTAGGTACTGATATAGTCACATTTTTTTTTTCTAATTTGTATTACTCATTCAGATTTTGAATACGTTTAACACAGACGTGTGTAGCTATAGATTTTCACCTTCTGGCAATAAAGACAACCAACAAAGATGCTAGCTGTCTGTTACAGAATGAAAAAGTACAACAGATTTACTTTACGTGGGACTTCTCTGGAGAAGTAGCTGTAGGGGGAGAACTTGAGACGGCAGGTGTCCTTGCTCGTGGTGTTTACAATGTCAATGTCCCCAGACTGCCAACAGCAACAGATGGGATGGCAGCAAGAAAACACGTGACTTCACATTGCATGATCGCCCAAATTACTTTCCCCAGTAACACAGCCCACACACAAAGTAAATTTAATGTCTGAACAGTAATTTCCTTTCTTCTATTTACTTCAGGCCCTTTGAGAGTGAACTGTTTGGCTCAAATCTTTTATTTTACATTATAAGCTATAATTTTTTTGTTTTTTACTGGTCTAAAAACATGCACAAACCTACACACGAAGTCAGAGACATGTTGCATTTTTGACAGTTAAAATGGGAAAAGACTTTAGAGGGACACACCTGATCAATCCACAGTTTTCCCACAATAATGTTGTGCACCGTTGACGTCACTTTGCTCCACATATAGTGGTTTCCGCTTGAGTGAAAATGCAAGTGAATGTTTCCTACAGTGATGAGAAGAAAAACACCCGTAAAAAAATGCATAAGATTTCAGATTTATCACTTATTGAAAATTGAAATTTCATTATGTTTTAAAGGTTTGTGTGTTTATGCCTCATATTGAACTTAAAGTGGTAAACTGTATATTATACAAAATGCTTTTTGTCATCATGATCTGCATGAAGGTACATTTTTGACTTGTTTCTTACCTAATGGCATGACAGAAATATATTTCCCACGAAATTTGCTATCAATAGTGATATGCTGCCACAGGGTCCATCCTCGCTGTGACATCACATGGTGGGCAGCAGCTGGTGGGTGATGACTGACCTGAGAGTTAATGGTATCAGCTGGTGTGAGTGGAGCCAATATTGACATCATCTTGTATTAATAATAGAAGTGTAAAGGTCTGTGCTTGGAAGTAAAATTAATACGATGTGTATGTCTTTGTTTGACCTGCTCAGAGATGGAGCGATAGCCATACTCCTCCAACCGGTCCAGCTCGTAAGTCTCCCCCAGCAGAGGGTTGAAAGGCTTGGCTGTACGATGGACCGTGGTGGAGTAGGAAGAGACCGAAAAGGCAGCCACTAGGCACATCTGCTCCAGGGAGGAGTCACAGCGTGCTGCGCGGTCCAGAAGCTCACTGTACTCCAGATCCTCAGTCAGGCGCTGTAGCATAGACAGCGGCTCATTGAAGTTTACCTGCAATCACACCCAGACACAAAGGTTTCTTGTACAGTACGTGGAACAGAAAAATTCCATGTGTGGAATATTCAAATCCGCATGTAATGAAAACTATATTTGTATGTTTTGGATGTACAGGCATGGGGATCTTGGACAAGTCTTTGCCAATACAGTTCTTCATGATGCTCCACAGGTTGAGGGAGTAATTTGGTTTGTCAGGAATATGAGTTCGTCTTGTTCTTCGTAGCTGCATGTGGTTTGTGCCCGAGGTGTCCTGAAAAAAGTACAACAAAACACAAACTTTTAGTTTCTGTAAAAACTGAAACACACAAATAAAAGGATAAGTTAAGATTATTAAAAAAAAGTTACATTTATTGAGTAAATATTAGGAAGCTGGGGACCTACGTTCTCATTGTGAGTCCAGTCATTGTTCACTCCACTGCTCATCACGCTCTGATTACTCCCTGAGCACCTGAGAGAAAGCAAGTTTCTTTAAATACAGTTCAAATTAATATTGCTGTTGACTAATCTGGAACATACTGCAGCTTCGGGTGACTCTGTATGGACATGATGTCTCACTTGTGCTGTACGTTGCCACTAGCAGTCACAGTTATGAATGCAGGGGTTTCCTCCATTGCATCGAAGAACTCTGCCTCCTCATTCTCATCGCTTAGATCCCCCTCCCGAGACCGCTCCACACCTACAGCAACAAACACAGGACAATTTGTAAATGTATATAAATCACACACACTGTAGTGCCATGATACTGGGAGTGGCCAGATAACAGAGACATCTTAACATATTACACAATAACTTAAAAAACATATATATAAAAATATGTAGAATAGCCCTGCAGTAAAGATTTCTGAAGCTCCACTTTTTTCACTGAGACTTGATCCAACTTGATTATGATTTCTTAAATATTTAAGAGGGATGCAACAGCAGCTGAAGCAGCAAATAACTGGCCTAGTCAAGAGTCATGTTTGCTCTTTAAGTTGCTTTATGTTGCCAACACATTTATAAAAAATAGGGCAACTTAATTAAGTGATCGCTTGTGTATTATCTGTTGTAACTGTCATTGCAGGTGTATAAGTTGCAACCATTGTAAAATTATGTAATGTGGCTCAAAAGGTTTACAACATTATGAGAATACTGTATATGCCAAACAGAAAAGAGAGGAGCAGTGGTCACAAGAATACTTGCACCAACACTGACTGGAAAACAATTAGTAAAAGATTTGCCTCGCACACTACAAACTCTGACCTCAACATAATAAAAAACAAACGAACAAAAAAAAACAACAACATGCTTGTCATGAAGGTGGTAGCAGGGCTATTTTGTTTTTCTATGTTTCTTTTAGAGTGTATATCCACGTAGATAAATGCACAGTTAAGATGGTACAGGTCGACTGAGCCCCGCTTCTATGGCAGAAAATGCATCACTACTACAGGCCAGAAGAGGGCGCTAATCCTATTCTGTAAGACCAGACTTTTCACAATACATAGGAAATCTAGAATGTCTAGGAAACATGAGTGGAACCCCAGTTCCCTTATTTTATTGTTCCTCAATCCTTGCTCCTCGCTCCTCGCTCAACCTGGAAGTCATTCGGGTCTGCCATCATGGAAGTTCCAAAGCTCTCATTTCTGCTGCGAGGAGCAGTGTAGAGGAGCTATAACCGAGGATACATGTCAGTCTGTTATGGACTGACACACCCCTTTATCAGTAATCTATTAATGACTGGATGCTTCATATGAAGGATCATGGAAAGGGCATCTCATGTCAGTTAAAATGTGTTTCCTCAGTTCCTCTCTCCTCGCATCTTACATGGGTGGGACTAAGATGCAAGTGAGGGTAACATGGATGCAGTTAGGGGAAATGGGATTCACTGAGGGTGTGATGTATCTCACCTGTATAGGAGGTGGGATTCTCCCTCCAGGCTGTCTCTAAGCTGTTGTGCTGTTTGGCTAACTGTTCGATGGTCTCCTCCAGATGGTGACGTTGTTCCCTCTCATAGTGCAGGGCCTTCTGCCACCTCCGGCTGTGAGATTCCGCTATGTCCAGAAAGTCACGACAAGCCTGAGGTGTGAACGCAACACACATCAAAAGATGCGGGCAGAATCCTCAAGCTGTGCTCCCTCATTGAAAGAGGCATTTTCAACTGATCTGTCTCACATTTACAGTGTTTATATGCACAGAGTCAGTGTGAACTCACATTGATCATAGCATTAGAGGTGATGCGAAACAGAGTGGCTCGCTCATTAACTGCTTTCACTTTGTCAGTGCTGTCAGCAGATCCACGCAGGTCCTCAAGTTCGCTGAGGGAACGCTGAAGGGCGGCACCGTGCTTTCCTATCAGCTCATTACAGGTGCTCAGGTCATCTAGCTTGCTGTTCAGAGTTTTGAGCACCCCTTGGCTTAGGGCACGGTCCTCCTGAGGTGTGGGGCCTTCATCTCCTGAGTCATCTTCACACAGAGGAAAAAATAAAACTAGTACACATATGACAGAATTCACAAGAGATGCTGGGGTGTAATTAAAGGCAATTATGTCCAAACATCCTGGGTGTTCAGTATGCATTGTAGTAAACAGTATATAGGGAGTTCATGTGTAATCAGACAGACTGAGAGAGATATTTTAAATAACCTAAATTTAGACTGAAATTACTTGAAACAGTGTTTGTGGGGAGCGGATGGAGGATGATGATAACACTTCACACCCGGATCCCCCACACCCCTTCCTATAATACAAGATTGAAAAGCTGTGAATGAACATCGTTACCCTGGAAACGTAGGCCTGTGCAATCAGGAGGCCAGCCTATTTTTAGAAGAGGGAGGGAAAAAAGATGACGCACTACTCTTTTCCTCCTGTCTCTACCCCTTAATGGCATGATCTGAGCCATGAGTCCCAGGTTTTATTAGAAGAATAACAGGGATGTGGCACTGAGGCATCAAGAAAAATAAGAAAACAATGACGACATTAACTTTAAAGTTTCTTAACAGAGTTGTTAGCATTCCTCTTAAGTTTACCCAATTTTACCTTAAAATTCAGACAAGAGCTTCAAAGTTTGACAAAACATTTTTATACACATCTCTGGTACTAAACCATGGGATTTGGGGTAGACTGAGGCTTTAAATAGTGCACATTATATTTTTGCAGTAAACACCTGCCAAGAGTCTGTGGACTGCAGAGGGTAATGAGGCAAACTATTATAGTTTCTCAGTGAAAAAAACACATCAGGTTAAAAATCTAACCTAGAGGTAAGTAATTCAAAAAATCCCTCTTGAAATTAGCTCAAATTTAGAAACTGAATGGTTTCCTGTTCTGGAGACTTGTAAATATTAGCACAAAGAATCCTACTTTAAAATGCAATTACCTCATATGTAACGACACTTTTTTAGGTCAAATTATTTCTTATCTTCTAAATAGATTATGTCTGCAAGCTGAAAACTAAGGTCCTGACCATGTTGACTGAATCTAGGCCAGTGTCTGCATCACCTGCGTGTCCCAAAGCACAGAGACAAACTACTACAATCCATTAGAGGGGAAAGGAAATAAAAACAATCAGGGCAAACTGGATTAACACGGTCTCGAGAGGAGAAGATTAAAAACGAAAGAGTGAAAAATCCACAAAACCATCTGTAATGGCTTCATGACCCATATGCAGGAGACAGAAAAGGGTCTCATTTGACTTAGGTGTTGGGCCGCTAGATTATGAATTTGAGAGCTGGGTCCATGTGCAGTTCAACATGTTATATGGAAGTGCACCTCTCTCTACATACGGGTACTACTGGGCTATTTTTCCACACAGGACACCAGAGAGTCTGAGACAACTTGATGATTCATCACTGAATCATGAAAACACAGCCACAGGTGATAGAGGACTCATCAATATGGACACAGTGTGGGAAGAGAGATGTGGAATTAAGAATCAGAGGATGCACTGAAGCTGGGCTTTTCCTCCTCCACAAACATTTAATTAGATTCACTCTCACATTCATATATGTTGAACTTTTGAGTCCATACTTTATGCTGGTTAGAGAGGTTGTTACAAGGTATGTATGTGCCTGATAACGTCTGCTGTTCTAATCCACTTTTATGATGTTAAAGTACCCTGCTATTACTGCCACTAAGGCCATAACCAAAGATTTAAGGATTAATAATCTGTAATCACATCACACACACTTCACCAAAATACACAAGGATTTCTATCTGTGCTTGCACATGTATAAAAACACATGAACTATTCTGTTTTTAAAAATAACTAATGTGCCCATTGTATTACCAATGTTAGTTCAAGAGCAACACATCAGATTAGTTGCATATTAACAGACAGCCTCGGTCAGATCAAGAATCTATGATGAAAATAGCCAGTTAAAACAATCAAGTGCATGCATGCAGAGACAGCGCTGTCAACAGAGAATAAGGATGTGTAAAATCTTCTAAATGCACCAAG